GCCAATGCATCAAGATACCATTCAATTTGAATAGACTCAAATCGCAGTTGACAGCTGAGATATAGCTGAAAAGTTACTTTTGTCCAGCTGATTCCAGCTTTTTTTTCAAAATCGCTATTGTGATATGTATTATAACCTTTCAGAACTGGCCTATGTTTCATTCATTGATTGTATTTAAGAAGAAATTCAACATAGAGAGGTTAACCTTTTCGTATTTGTTGGGACTCGTAAGTCTTGTCAGAGGACACTCAGTCACTTAATGCACCGCTGTTGTCTGTGCAGACCTGCGTCATGGACACATGAACGTGGGTTCGTATCCCAGTTCGCCCCAGATTAAGATCCCCTGCTCGTGTTTTTAACCAAGGGAGGGACCCGTGGATCCGGGGTAGAATATGTCTCAGCAACCTGCATGGTTTGGGGACTAACGGGATCGGGTGGTCCTCCTACTCTACATGTCTGACTCACGATGATGCTGTTGATCACTGGATTGTCTGGTATAATTACGCCGCAAAAGAAAGCTGATGAACCTCACAACTAATTTGCATGTGTTCTACACTCTCAAGAGGAACTAATGTTCGATGAACCCTAATTTCTGTGTTCTATGTCTAAGAGGAACTAATGTTCTGACCCCCCTTATCTATCTGAACAACCCATGCTTGTCGTAAGAGACGACTAACGGGATGACATGTGACTTGGTTGACACATGCCATCCTATCCCAGTTGCGTAGATCGATGCTCATGATGTTGATCAGTTGATTGTCTGGTCCAGACTCGATTATTTACAGACCGCCGCCATATAGCTGGAGTATTGCTTAGTGCGGCGTAAAACTAAACTCATTCACTCACTATTGACTGTCATCCATAAGTATAAAGAAGTATATTTTGTCCCTGTTTGCAGTAGACTGTTACTGTAATGCAAATTGAGGTGTTTTAATGTGTTACCACATCCCGCTTTTTGTGAACATAAGGTTATTGTCCAATAAACATCATCCCCCAAAATAGTTTTGTCATTACTTTACTGGTAGATACCTATTGATTACCTGTTCAACTCGCACTCCTCACCCGATGCTTTCGGGCTAATGGTACTGTGGTCGCTATTGGTAAGGTAGTCTGTCTCACAGACCCTGAAACAAATATACCCAATGCAGCATATACAAGTCTAGAATATGTCTAGAATAGAATAGATTTCACAGTTTCTGGAGGGATGTCTCTGGACTACTATACTTTATATTATATTTATTTTGGATGCATTTTTCAACATTTTATACAAACAAATAACAGTGATATTCCAGTACACATGATGAAAAATCAAATAGTTTTAGCAGAATTTATGATTATTGAATCTGACGGGAATTCAAACGTTGAAAATATTTATTTTCTGATTAAACCGTTTTATTTTCTGTAAAATATGTTTATTTCAGAGATTATACGTTAGTGTATCCGCAAAGATATAACGCTTGCCTAGTGTTGCTATTATTTGTGTGGCATCGTACACTTGGCCAGGACCACCAGATTGGTCCAATGGATAGAACGTTTGCCATGAGAGCGAAAGCGGGGCTGGATATCGTTTCACACGGAAAGATTTCAAGGTTATTACCCTGCTGTCGCCGGGCACGGACGAGCCAGCACGGTGTATCATCGGGCGAGCACTATAAAACCTGCGTTAGTCCGTACAAATAGATGTACAGTATGCGAGAACGACGGGGTCGATGAGTTAGCCTTGTGGTTAAGGCATTCGCTCGTCACGCCGAAGACCTGGGTTTAGTTCATCACATTGGTAAAACGATTGAAGTCCATTCTGGTGTCCCGGTCGTGATATTACTGAAAGCGGCATAAAACCAGGGACACTCACTGGCTTGAACGCGACGTAAAGCTGACTACGTCGTTGCTTCCGCATAATCCACTGTGAATTCATAACCCTCATTTGACCCGTGAAGGTCCGGGTTAGAATATTGATCTTCAGTAACCCATGCTTGTCGTAAGAGGCGAATAACGGGTGGGGGGTGGGGTGGGTGTGTGTTGTGTGTGTCAGGCTCGCTGACTTGGTTGACACATGTCATCGGTTCGACCAATGGCGCAGATCGATGCTCATTTTGTTGATCACTGGATTGTCTGGTCCAGACTTGATTATTTACAGACCGCCGCCGTATAGCTGGAACATTGCTGAGTACAGCGTAAAACGAAACTCCCTCTCTCACTCGTATGTAACTGAGCTCACACGGTTGCCGCAAAGTCAAGGTCATGTCAACCTTGTCAGTTCATTCCCATTTCAGTAATTCATGTTTGTCAGTTTGCTATTCTAAAATAAATATTTTTAAAAGCCCATTTGATTTATTTTCCACGGCAGGTTTCTGTCAATAAACACTAAATCACTGGATTGTCTGGTCCAGACTCGATTATTTACAAACCGCCGCCATATAGCTGGAATATTGCTCACTCATAACCCTCATTTTTAGGGTTAATGGTGCGACCGTAAAATATTCAACTATTTCATGCAAATTCATTTCGGTTATCGGTTATTGGTTCAGTCGAGCATTTGAAATTAAACCCGGCGTATTGCAAAGCGCTATCATTTAGTTAGTTACAGAGGCGAAATATTGGGTTTAGCGTCGCGTTCAAGATTATCAAACTTGAGTGACTTGTTGCGTGTGGTTTTGCTGGTACGGTCCGGACTAACAGGTATATTTTGCTAGTCTTTGAGGCATTAACCTATATTACAATTAGGTAATGCAGCATTTTACTACACCGTGGTATGCAGTCCCCGAGCCGACCAGTCTTAGCTTTCCCTCCTAATGCTGAGCGCCAGGCAGGGCAATAACAAATACCATCTTTCAACGTCTTTGTAACTGATCGCGACTGCCGATTGTGGGTTTTGCAAGGGAGGATATAGTTCGAGGAAAGCCTTGAGGCACACGTGACAAAGTGTGCTAAGTTGCTGAGGTACTCCGCTGATATGTCCTGATCCAGGAGTGGAAACTTACTCTTACTTGACACAAGGGACGTGAGGTGCGTGACGTAAGCTTGTCAGAATCCTGCCATCATAGGTTCGAATCCAGGATTCCCCTTGACGTTTGGTTTGTCAGCACCGTTATCATGATCGATTTTGCCAAAAGTGTTAACTTGTGGTTTCCATTTTACGAGCTGATACGGGGCGGTGGGTAGCCTTGTGGTTAAAACGTTCGCTCGTCACGCCGAAGACCTGGGTTCAGTTCATCACATTGGTAAAACGATTGAAGTCCATTCTGGTGTCCCGGTCGTGATATTACTGGAAAGCGGCATAAAACTGGTTTGAACGCGACTGGCTTGACACGCGACAGTATGAAGCAAACATGACGGTACGACGTTGCTTCCTGCATAATCCACTGTGAATTCATAACCCTCATTTGACCCGTGAAGGTCCGGGTTAGAATATTGATCTTCAGTAACCCATGCTTGTCGTAAGAGGCGAATAACGGGATGGGGTGGTCAGGCTCGCTGACTTGGTTGACACATGTCATCGGTTCGACCAATGGCGCAGATCGATGCTCATTTTGTTGATCACTGGATTGTCTGGTCCAGACTTGATTATTTACAGACCGCCGCCGTATAGCTGGAAAATTGCTGAGTATGGCGTAAAATGAAACTCCCTCTATCACTCGTATGTAACTGAGCTCACACGGTTGCCGCAAAGTCAAGGTCATGTCAACCTTTGTCGTCAGTTCAACCCAGGTTCGATTCCCCACATGGGCACAATGTGTTAAGCCCATTTGTCAGTTTCATTCCCATTTCAGTAATTCATCAGTTTGTCTGTTTGCTATTCTAAAATAAATATTTTTAAAAGCCCATTTGATTTATTTTCCACGGCAGGTTTCTGTCAATAAACACTAAATCACTGGATTGTCTGGTCCAGACTCGATTATTTACAAACCGCCGCCATATAGCTGGAATATTGCTGAGTGCGGCTCACTCATAACCCTCATTTTTAGGGTTAATGGTGCGACCGTAAAATATTCAACTATTTCATGCAAATTCATTTCGGTTATCGGTTATTGGTTCAGTCGAGCATTTGAAATTAAACCCGGCGTATTGCAAAGCGCTATCATTTAGTTGGTTACAGAGGCGAAATATTTGGTTTAGCGTCGCGTTCAAGATTATCAAACTTGAGTGACTTGTCGCGTGTGGTTTTGCTGGTAGGGTCCGGACTAACAGGTATATTTTGCTAGTGTTTGAGGCATTAACCTACATTACAATTAGGTAATGCAGCATTTTACTACACCGTGGTATGCAGTCCCCGAGCCGACCAGTCTTAGCTTTCCCTCCTAATGCTGAGCGCCAGGCAGGGCAATAACAAATACCATCTTTCAACGTCTTTGTAACTGATCGCGACTGCCGATTGTGGTTTTGGCAAGGGAGGATATAGTTCGAGGAAAGCCTTGAGGCACACGTGACAAAGTGTGCTAAGTTGCTGAGGTACTCCGCTGATATGTCCTGATCCAGGAGTGGAAACTTACTCTTACTTGACACAAGGGACGTGAGGTGCGTGACGTAAGCTTGTCAGAATCCTGCCATCATAGGTTCGAATCCAGGATTCCCCTTGACGTTTGGTTTGTCAGCACCGTTATCATGATAGATTTTGCCAAAAGTGTTAACTTGTGGTTTCCATTTTACGAGCTGATACGGGGCGGTGGGGTAGCCTGGTGGTTAAAACGTTCGCTCGTCACGCCGAAGACCCTGGTTCGATTCCCCACATGGATACAATGTATGCAGCCCATTTCTGGTGTCAACCGCCGTGATATTGCTGGAATATTGCTAAAAGCGGCGTAACACCATTCTCACTCACTGCTGAGCTCATACATCGTGATAACATGATCCTGTCCAAAGGGGAGATCACTCCCGACTACATAAAGAATATCTAAGCAGGACCACATCAACTGAGAACAAAGCTTGTTTTGCGACATGTGGAACTACTACTATATATGTGTATGGAGATAGACAAAAGTGGAACATGTGTACAATGAAAAAAACATTTATTAATCAGTATCGTCATACATGTAGAACAACACGACTGACAAATTAAAATATACATAAAAAAGCTCACTCGACATTGACATATGTATTGTAATTGTGTAGAATCGGAACAAATGAAATGTATAATGAAATAGCACACGAACATCCCTGAAGACTTGTCTCTTGACCACATCTTGACGTCAAGGCTGAACACATATCATTACAGAAGCTTATTTGCTAGCACTGCAGTTCCGACTAAAATATATATGTGACACTTTTAATTGAAAGGATATTGATACAATGTAGACCCACACTCGAAACTCGTTATTTCAACATTAAGGTGTTTATACTGATAGAGATGTAGTGTTTTATGGTTACCTGATCACGTTTTTGAAAAAAAAAATCCAACTCTTCTTTCACAGAAAACAAGGACAATCGATGATATTGCAACATCTGGACAAAAACTTTGCCTAAAGATCATAAGCACATTTAGCCAGGATAGTGTCTTCAGTGAGTTTACTATCAGAGAAGTGGTAGTTTTATTACCTTGAAGTTACGACATATATGAAATTTCATTTGCTTTTGAGATACTGTAACACCTCTTCGCCTTCTTCCCATACGGTTGGCAGTGATATGCAAATTTGACAAAACACTTGACACAACTTATGACGCTGGTGTGATGGTATGGTGAAACTCTGACGTTGTCTGAACAGTCATTTACAACCGAGAATATGTATATTTTCAGAATATCTGCGGTCAAATTAGAATATGCTTTTGTGATGCTATAGTTAATAAGGTATATGGATGTTTTTTATCCAGGACTAAAACAGGAAGCAGTGACTTCAATATTAACTTTTCCGCCAAGGTAGAGAACCTCAGTCAAGTCCCATGTTTTTGCATATATAAATACCATAGCAACGGACCCACAAACTGGAAGAGATCAATCAGACTTCTTCAAGTACAATTGATGAACAACAAAAGGACACAAAGCGCTCAGACAAAATCATTTCGGAATACTTTTCATTGTAATGAAAGCTCTGAACTTATTTCCTTCACGCGAATCAGAACACGAGATAGACCTTTAACATTGGACACATGTGCACAAAAAAGTGGTACTACATTTGCTAAAGTTCATATGGCCAGATGATTTGTTCAACCAATTTTCTTGTACTTCCGGGTACACGTCGCTCCACTTCCGGTCATAGTCTGAAAAAGAGAATGGCAAATTTTGAACACGAGGACCTTTTATTTTGGAAATGGCTGTGGGTATGAGTGAACCAACTTTTAAATTCATGAACAGAAAGGGTCTCACATATACGATCTTTCTAGCAACATTTCATTTACACATGTACTTACATATAGAGATCGATCAATTCTAAAGCATAGACATATACAATACTGAATATGACAGCAGTGATGACATACACTGAATGGCTGTACATACAGATGCTTATCAGCTGCTTGTCAGTACATCATTGGTTCGTTGATTTGACACTTTTCGGAATCTAGATAAAAAGAACATGTTTGTATTCATCCTTTAAATAGTTTACACCTACCATGACCATCTCATCTCCAGATGCTGTCCTCACGTTCTTGGTCTCAAATCCATCCCCCTTTTGTGTCTCCACCAAGCTGCCACCTTCCTCCGTAACAACAACCTGAAACAGCAATCATATCATTAAGTCATCCGTGACTACAACATGAAACAACGACCTTATCATCAAGTCATGTTATAACAATCTGATACAGACAACGTATCAGTAGGTCATCCCTGACTACAACCTGAAGCAGCAATCATCCGTGACTACAACCTGAAGCAGCAATCATCCGTGACTACAACCTGAAGCAGCAATCATCCGTGACTATAACCTGAAGCAGCAATCATCCGTGACTACAACCTGAAGCAGCAATCATCCTGACTACAACCTGAAGCAGCAATCATCCGTGACTACAACCTGAAGCAGCAATCATCCTTGACTACAACCTGAAGCAGCAATCATCCCTGACTACAACCTGAAGCAGCAATCATCCGTGACTACAACCTGAAGCAGCAATCATCCGTGACTATAACCTGAAACAACCTGAAGCAGCAATCATCCGTGACAACAACCTGAAGCAGCAATCATCCTTGACTACAACCTGAAGCAGCAATCATCCGTGACTACAACCTGAAGCAGCAATCATCCGTGACAACAACCTGAAGCAGCAATCATCCGTGACTACAACCTGAAACAGCAATCATCCGTGACTATGACCTGAAGCAGCAATCATCCGTGACTACAACCTGAAGCAGCAATCATCCGTGACTACAACCTGAAGCAGCAATCATCCGTGACTACAACCTGAAGCAGCAATCATCCGTGACTATAACCTGAAGCAGCAATCATCCGTGACTACAACCTGAAGCAGCAATCATCCGTGACTACAACCTGAAGCAGCAATCATCCATGACTACAACCTGAAACAGCAATCATCCGTGACTACAACCTGAAGCAGCAATCATCCGTGACTACAACCTGAAGCAGCAATCATCCGTGACTACAACCTGAAACAGCAATCATATCATTAAGTCATACGTGACTACAACCTGAAGCAGCAATCATCCGTGAGTATAACCTGAACACAGCAATCATATCATTAAGACATCCGTGACAACCTTAGACAGCAACCATATCATTATGTCACCCGTGACATCAACCTGAAAACAATCTGAAACAAACAAATGTTGGTTATCCGTAACAACAACCTGAAACAGCAATCATCGGTCTGTAAATAATCGAGTCTGGACCAGACGATCCAGTGATCAACAACATGAGCATCGAACCGATTGGGAACCGATGACATGTGTCAACCAAGTCAGTGAGCCTGACCACCCGATCCCGTTAGTCGCTATTTACGACAAGCATAGGTTGCTGAAGATATTCTAACCTGGATCTTCACGGGTCAAACCACACCATGAAATTGAACCAGTCTTCTTCGCCAGTGACAAATTGTGACTGCCCACACGTGTCAACCTATATATTTATCGCTCTCTGATTCCACTGCCGACAGAACTTGCTCCCTGGCAGTCACATAGGTGAGACCAGGGTATCCATTGGCCCCAGGGAAATTATTGAAAGTCGTGTAAAGTATTTATGTCCGTCTCCGATGATGTCCCAAATGACTTGGACACAGTGACACCAATTGTTATGTAGCAGCCTTGAAACACATGACTGAAGCACCACCAATCCTTAAAGGCCCATTCCAGGTAAATCATTCAAATCCAAATTCCCAAAGGTGGGTTGTAATTACAGCTTACTTTCCCGGAAATTCTCTTTATGCGCGCACCCCGAAATGGACCTGTTTTTTTCTCCTGGCGTCAGTGTCATATGCACAAGAGAATCTTCTTGCCATGAATAATAATACCTGAACCCTATTCTTGTGCCATATATCCTTCGGAGCCATTTTGTCACTGAGGTGATGGTGCACATACTGTTTGCACAACTGAAGAATATGATTTCCAAAATTTCAACGAAATGTTATACCATTACATGATGAAGGCACTATAACCTTGCATAAACTGTCAGATTGTGGTCTAAACAGATTCTGAAACATAATCAAAGTTTGAATAATTAAAAAATTAAAAATGTATTTACTTAATTTTCTTCTCGAACAAATTTGAAACTCTTTGTGTTTCTGTATATATCAACGTCTCAGAAACCTTGAAGTTGAGACAAAAGCCTTTTCAAACGTATTCCACAATTGTACCTTGATGAACATATATTAGTTCTGTTATGGTGCCTGACCTTCTCACGTTTCAGTCTTGTCCATTCTGCTGGTTTGGAAAACGAGAAGAATATTAACAGACTTTGGGGAAATGGAGAAAGTTTAGTTACAAACAAACTAAAATACGTTTTCTTTGACAATGGAATGCCCAGAATATTGATGGAGGGTGACTTAGCTCTGGAACATTTAGGATGGTATTCTTTGTCAGTCCGAGTATCCATAAAGAGAACTTAATTCATCTCTTATGACTTGTACGCTTTTTTAAAGGCCTGAGGCTACTCGGATGCTACCCAAATATCAACTGAAACACTTTCCTTGTCAGCTTCAGCAGTTTGTGTACGAGCTTCAAGTACTTATATATAATTAGACTAACATGCACATCTTTTACAGAAAAAAACGGTCCCTAAGTTATATTTATAAAATATTATTGAAAGGAGTCCAGAGACCTTCTTCATTTTCATCTAGCTGCCACCTAATCTTGGCTTGCTGTATTGGGTATATTTGTTTCAGTGTCTGTATGACAGACTATCAAGTACCCTAATGGAACAGATATCATTTTTACACAGACATGGTACTACACATGTAGGAAATCATCACAGTCAGGGCCGGAAATAACTTTAAAATTGCTAGTGTACTCCGGTACAGTGGCACATGTAAAATCACTTGCCCTGATAAGTTTTCCACTATACCGGCCGTTTTCTTGTTGATTTTTTTTAAATAAACAACATTATTAACATTGGAAAGGCAATTGGACACCGGTACAGCATGGTATACAAATTTGCTTGCCCGACAGAAAAAAACACTGGACTCGGACGTCGGGCAATGGGTTATTTCCACCCCTGCACAGTATACATGAACTAGTGAAATCGGCATGCTCTAGTTTTAGTGATTTCAAAAATTGAAAATAATCAGTTTCAACTGTCAACAAAGTTAATCGTCTTTGCCAACCAAGTTTCAATACTGGCCAAATATTACCTTTACCTTTTCCAGAAAGAAAGGATACTCTCACCCTTGTGTGTAGCGTCATTGGACGTCGAGCTAGTTTGGGTATCTTGTCATTTGAACGCAACCGACATTTAATCAGTAAGAGCTAATTGGAATGTGTGATCGATGTGTTTTTCTTCTGTACATACCTTCACAGGCCTGCCATCGAGAGTGGCTGTTGAAAATTCTTCACCCAGAGTAAACGTGACCTCCTTCTCTCCAGCCTTGGTGATGGTCTTGATGGTCCAGGAACTGCCGTTGTTGGAGAGATCCTGCACCAGCTTCGACCCGGCAGACAGAGCACTCTTCGCCTTATCTATGTTCTCGTTGGAGACGCCTGAAGCAGTGAGCGAGTGAGTGAGTGAGTGAGTGAGTGGGTGGGTGGGTGAGTGAGTGAGTGAGTGAGAGTGGGTGAGTGAGTGGGTGAGTGAGTGAGTGAGTGAGGTGGTGGGTGGGTGCATCGGGTTCAAAGAGTAAATGCAACCACTAAAACCTACTGACATGAGATATTTTGCACAGCACACTTGGTCTGAAACCTTACTCTGATTATGTAATGTTTTGGTGCCGAGTGATAAAAATAATTAATGACCAGCCTGTATGAGAGTCATTGTTTCTTTTGTCCCATGTGTGACTACTCCTCTTTTGATTTGTATATTCATCTAATTTCCACGACAAAAAGTATTCTCACATTATGTTAAGTGTAAATATAGGTAGAATTAAACTTATTATATTTGAAGTGTATATTTAGATATAATTATTCTTATGATATGTAGTGTATATTTGGATAGTATTCTTCTCATATGGCAAGTGAATATCAAGACCGACATACCTGACTGACCCTATCAAAAGTTGTGTAGTATACATACTTCAGTTGGGTATCGCCACAATGCCACGGATGTTTGCACCTAAGTAAAGAGGTAGAGACAAGCGGGACGAGACGAGCTCAGGGAAAGGCAATGTTTAACGCATTTTAAGTATTATCAAGCACAGCATACGGTGTATTTACGTTACGTATTCAGCTCCCTCGCTGATAGTGTAAATGGGTTTAACGCCTCGTGTAAATGTATCAGCGAGGCCAGGTCGCAAACACAGTCACCACAGCCGACCTGGCGTCTATGGCAGAATTTAACATGGAATCTGCCTGGCATTAGGAACAGAATTCTTCATTAAATCCAGTCAAAATAGCTCTGGCATTAAAATCGGCTGTATACTTGTCTGATGTGTTTCATATGTACCCACCCTTGTCGAAACATTCCTGTGGAGAATGCCATAGAATGATGTTATTTTGCCATGTTCACAGTACAGGCTCGCCCAAAGCGATTGTACAAATATGCATACGTATTCAACCTTATGGAATGCCATGTTTCAATTTTATTTATTTAGATTATGCAATTTGATAGACATGGACAAATGTGTTATTCGCAAATTAGATAATTTAAACTCAGTATGTATATGTTGTTTATTGAAGTTACTATTCAACGCCCATAAACTAAATAGACACATTGATAATATGTAAACGCAATGGGTTATTCAACTGTTTCGGTGGATAACTGAAAGAAAGTGTACATCCCAAGTATGGAATTCTTGCTTTTCTTCACGCACTTCTTTTTGTCAACAATTCAAAAGAGTATACATACCTTTTGCTAAAGACTGACTGACTGAGTTTGGTTTTACGACGCTTTTAGCAATATTCCAGCAATATCACGGCGGGGGACACCAGAAATAGCTTCACACATTGTGCCCATGTGTGGATTCGAACCCGGGTGTTCGGCGTGACGAGCCAACGCTTTAACCATTAGGCTACCCCACCGCCCCTTTTGCTCAAGAAATGATAGTAAGTAGATGTAATAATGGGCCGAGTGGTTATTGTTTTACACCGCAGCCATATATCCCACATGTATAGCGACATTGAATCGGGATCCCGCAGACCAATGACTGACAGCATGAACACCGAGCAAGGTCACCATGACACAATCGGTCAAGTCACACAATGTATACGTGAGACTGAACTTATCGAGCAGTGAGGACAAATTCAACTCATGGGTTTAAAGTATATTATTAAAGTATACATGTATATTATATCATAATATTTTCCTTGATAAATATGAAGTGTATTATGAACAATAGATAGCAGTGACGATTCCGAGAACAGAATAATTATTTTTGAGATCTACATGCAAAAACATGGGCGTTAAGGACAAACGTGTTTCTAATCAGTAGACGGTGCCAAGGTATCTGTTTTACGAGGGTTGAACCCTTCAGGTTACAAATGCTTATGGTCTTATCCAGACAGAAATGTTCTACCGAATAATCAGAGTTGGAATGTTTTTGGTTTCCAATTCTCATTCGAGAACTGAGGTGTTAAGTTTTTCAATCCCCCTTCAAGTACAAAAGCGAGAAGCTTGTTTGTGAAATATGATATCGCAGCAATCAGAAAGCTAAAGTTCTTGTCTTGATATAAACAGAATGATATCACAACCGTGTGGGCGTATTTCTCTTCAAAGGATTTTTTATTGTGGAATCTGTAAGACTGCATTAAAAAACAGACATATGCGTTGCAGAATTTAAGGGAAATTAAGCAGTCTGATTGTGAATGTAAATCTTAGAAGTCTAGAACACTCGGAAATTAGCACATCAGCGTTAGGGAGAAGTTTCAGGAAGTCACGAAGCCTGGAACTGGATAAACAACACATACGCAGGTCAAGAGAGAGAAACCACGTATACTCCATGCCTTTACTGTTTGCAGGAAATACTGTATATCTTGAAGAATCTGTTTGATAGGGGTGTACTTTATTAGACCTGGGTAAAAACGTTTTAATCAGTAAATAAATATATTTCTGAAAATAACATAATTCTGAAACTTCTATTCATCTCTGTATATACACACGTATACGATTCAGAGGTACAGATAAGTTGCGTATCTGCGTAAATTACGCAAATATTTATGTGAAAACTCAATTCCTATTTAGTCTATTGCGTACAAGTACGCTTGAATTTTTGTAAATACCCAATAAATGTGATCTTACATACCCAATTGAGACGAACACAAGAGAGTACATAACTCAATGACCCAAAAGGTTATCAGTAGCTCTAAACGATGTATGCGACATCCTAGTGAAAGCGAAGACGTTAGGTAGCCAAGTGGTTAAGGCGTTCGCTCGTCACGCCGAAGATTCCCCAAATGGGTACAATGTGTGAAGCCCATTTCTGGTGTCCCCGTGACATTGCTGAAATATTGCTAAAGGCGGCGCAAAACTCAACTCACTCACTCACTCCTGGTGGAAGGCTTCTTCTGTGTCTGGGACACTTGTACCTACTTCTGGATTCAGCTGCTGATTTCATACACTCTGCAACCTGACCCCAATTTCCTTACTGGTAAGGTTGTAATGTAAATAGTTAGATGAATCCCTATGGGGTGTTTACATGAATACTTTCCCCCACTCAAGATGGTTGCCATCGGAAGACCGGGACATGCTTGTACGCGAGCACATGGGGTTATCTTCGTAAGTTACACCTTTGAGTAAAGACTTATATGAATTTGTAGCTTCATCCTTGTTAGTTTCTTTTCTTATCAGGTGATACAAAGTTTAATATTTCAGAATATAGGTGTTCGCTTGACACGCCGTTAGTTTATGTCCATATGGCAAACGCTCAAATAATTATGGAAATACTGAAGCCCTTGATTGTTGCTCTTGAAACATTGACGTCATTAATCAAATGGTTCTATTCCTCTCTACAGCTGTGCGTGATAAGCTGCTCAGCAGTGCTTCCCAATGATGTCAATGAGTTCTTAATCGATACTTGTGTAGAATTCATTTCCAGAATCTCATCATGCTAAGTGGTTATTAATTCGGATGACAATTCTTCTGTTATTGGATTATTACCTAAATTTATCATCCCTCATTCTAGGTCAAAAGCAGGATGATTTCAGACCAAATAAAATCTTCAGCTTGATGTGAATGAATGTGGTTTTATGCCGCTCGCTATTCGAGGAATATCGTGGCGAGTGGCAACTGAAGTATGCTTCATACATTTGTATCGTGCGGGGAATCATGGAACCCTGGCGGAAAACGCTTCGTCCACTAGGCGACCCCACTGCGCAAATATCCTTCTTAAAATAAGCTTTCTTTACGTTATCATTTATAGCGAACTGCTGGGATCATCGTTAGTTGATCGTGTTTCAAAGGTACAGTGACATTCTTATCAAGTCATTTTTGTGAAATCAAGTCTGGTTTTAGCACATATTTCCTATTTCTTACAAGTGGGGCGTCTTCACCATTCCAATAGTCAACTTCCCTTTATGACGAACAGTCTTCCAAAAGCTCCAGCCTGTTCCCTAAGCAAGATTTCAAAGGGCGTCACATATCTCTTGATCAGAAGTTGACTAATCAAGATTGCAACTTTCAAGGTTTCGGTGAAGTTTTCAAAACAGTTTATGGCAGACATGTGGACGCCATTTCCAAATCAAATTTGGGAACGGCATCCGAGGCAATTCCCGATTTTGAATTGTAGCACATTTCCGACTTTTATCAGGTAAATAGTTGACTAGCCTTTGCATATGTTTATGACGGATGAAACCACTGGGGCAGGATACGCTTATCTTTTCGGGGGGCCATCGAGACCTTGGGCTATCTTTCAGTTGTTTGCCCCACCCTTAATTTCAAACACTTTATTGTAAATGTTTGCAAACAATGGGCATATACTTCATCTGGTGGAGATTAAAATGTTTCTAAATTTAGCACTAAATGTCACATCATACAGCTAAGATCATATCAACTATAATTAAAAGTGCACATGACATGAGATGAACGAGGGCCACCTAGAATCCATCCAATCATGGAATGTACTGATACTGATATTTTCCAACAAATGACAAAGTGAGGATTCAAAGGGACACGGCTGAATCTATTGACTTTTTGGTCAGCTCACCGTGCGCCTCTCACACATGCACGTGCTAATGATGTATTATTTACGGCTGATCAATGATGTGTGCAACAGAAATACTCCCTCGGCCCCAATCAAACCCCGTCAGCTCCAGAGAACTATTCCCATCTTGTCAATCAAATCATTGCCAACATCATGTTCAATTTTACTCAAGCCGGACTGATTCGGAGTTTATACCATGGCTTAGTGGTAGATAATCCCAGCGGGATAGCCGTCAATATATCCAATATTAATCCAGAACCAGCCTTTTCAATCAGCGCACAATGCCGAATCCCCAGTGACACGGAACTGAAGTTAAGAACAAAATAAGATGCGGATTCACATGGTTACCGAAGTGTTTATGCCGGAATGATTTCAAACCTGAATCATGGACGTTTAAAGTTACTGTACCTT